AAGGTATCATTCTCATCACAGTTTCTATCTAAACACATTGCAGATCCTCGTTTGGAAAGTGAAAATTGTTTTATTTCCGCTGTACATGTTAAGTAAATTCCCAACACCCACCCCTCCCCTCCCCTCCCCTTTCCTTTATTCATCTTTCTTTTTCCAAGGGTTTATCCAACAAAATCGTGATAGTGGATGATGCCCTTTTTGAATTGCGGATGCTTTCTAGTCGGTAGGAGGGTTGAGGAAACGCAGTGAGGGCTCAATACCATGTGCGGGGTGGGTGAAAGCCCTGTGTTGCATCGAGAAAGGATAATAGAATTGTGAAGACAAAAAATTCCACTTTTCTAATATGAGAAGTTAATCAACTTATTATTCGTTAATCATCATAATGAAGGCACGTGTGCTAAAAACTCCGTATCTAACTTCAATAAGTCAAGTCAATTATAAAGTTTCACGATCTCACTTTATCGTTGTGCTCATCCAATCAACTACTTCAGAGTCTTTTTGTATATGAGATCGAGTAAGGATCTTAGTTGTTCTAAGTTTTGAATTAAGCGTTGATTATTTTCATACGTATCTTCTAAACTCGATAGAATTAATATAAAATGACAGAAGTACTCACCTCCCAAACTAATTTATTATTTGTCCTGAATTACAAGTAATCAAATAGAAAACCTCATGTAAACATGTTTGATTTTTTTTCCTCAATCATTTTACAACCAACCAAGCCAACACATGACAAATACAACCCAATATATGTATGTATGCATTACTACATTACGTGTACAAAAATATACGTACAAATATGTACAATGATGTCCCAACAACTCTATATTCTTGAGTGCACATAAATAATGATTTCATTGACTTTAAATAAATTAGAACATTGATTAGAGTTCGATTAGTACACGACTTGTTAGCAAATCAATCAATATTTTAACAGATATAATCATATCATAATGATTTTGTTAACCTTGTCACTCATCAAATTTTTGTCACATGAGTTGGAACTTTTTATGAGAGTTCTTTTATCAACAATTTTGGGGAAAACTTTAGTTTTATTGTTGCTTTTTTTTTTTCAAGAAACACCTATT